TTTCGGGATAATAAATCAAACATGCTTTTTATTTCTCTGATCTGAATTCACAAATGGGATATTTTATATATTGTTTCGAATAAATATGAGAAAAAAAAGCGCAATCAAGAATTTTTATTATAGCAGAAGTATTAGAACAGATTTTACATTTTTTAGCGATAGATAAATCCCTCTATCCCACTCTATATGTTTCCCGATTGTGGTACTATACTGCAGGACAGATATTATGAAAACATATTGAATTATATTATCTAGGAAATTTTTTACGTATATGCAAAGACTTGAAACCGTTTCATGGGGTAAATGTAAGAAATATCATCTTTCCGTTCTCTCACTATGAACTATCGGATGGAGACATAGATGGAATTATACGCTCATGCCCAAATATAGTATATCTAAATTTCAATGCTACATGTAGACTAGCTATTAGTGATACCGCAATTATTAATATTGCACATTCATATCCAAATCTATTAAGGCTAGAACTCTTTGAATGTGCCTATATTAGCGATAGAGCTATTAGAGAAATAGCGAAATCATGCCATAGATTAGAGCATCTCAACCTTGGAGTATGTAGCCTAATCAGTGAAGACACTATATTCATTATTGCACGTTCATGTCGAAACCTTAGTTATCTAGATCTAATGCAATGTAGTATTAGTGATAGAGCTGTTAAAGAAATAGCGAAATCATGTCATAAATTAGAGCATCTTGATATATATGGCTGTGATGGTGTTACTGAATTGGGTATTCGTGCTATAGCACGTTCATGTCCTAAACTCAAACATCTAGACCTCGGTAATAGTGAGATTGGTAATTCAGCAATCAGGGAAATTGCTCGTTCATGTCATAATCTAAAATTCCTTGGCTTAGAGTGCTGTAGCGGTATTAGCAGAAAAGTATTAGGAAAGCTTGATCGGAATATCGAGATAGAATGGCCTGATTCAGATAGTGATAATGAGTCTGTGCAGAATCTATCTGGCCCGGAGTGGTGATCGCTTTGTTCGAAAGAAGATTTTTTGCTGGGCCACGTATTGTGTGACAAAAAATAGGCTGATCACATAATAGGTCTGTGCGACATATTAATTTTGCATATATATTCGAGAAAGAAAACATATTAACCTTCGTTCTTTATTTTTTCCCGAACAAATGTGAGAAAAATGTGAAAGGAGCTCTAGTTGCAACACAGGACCTTCCCCATAAGTAAATACCGACGGCAAAAGCATATGTTATGAAAGGCTGAGGGACTCGCAATTTTGGGATTGCAGGCGTAAAACCAACTATATGTCTCTCCAGTAGATCTACATGTGAAAAGGTATGAGGATTCCATTTGCATGTGTTTTCATAGAGCTCTTGGCATCATACGACAATGCTAATCACTATTCATACCTCCTTATCTTTTTTCCCAGCAAGATATAAAGCATGTAGGAGTATGTGGAAGTTCAGCCAACTTTCCGCAAAAAACATTCCTGTAAAAATAACGCAAAATATGGTATGTACAGTATATGTTCTTTAATGCGAGTGGGCCAAGCAATTTTCTCACTATGGATCTTGTATTTAGGAAAAAAAAATGGCCGAAATCACTCTCAATTGTCTTATCGTTCCTATAGGAAAACTTATGAATATTCCTTGCGTTAAAGTAATGCAGGCAATTAGAGTTGAAAAAGATGAATGTTATAGCATTCTCGAGGCTACAATTCAAAGCAGATTGGGGGTTGAGATCCCACTCAAAATATGTATAATTCAAGCCGGAAGCAATAATGAAGAGGTAATGAATAGTCATGCCAGTATTTCCGATTATTTTACTGAGGAGCCTAAAGCAGAGCACTTCCATATCACTGTATACCCCCCGGTCAGAATAATCTTCTGTATCATGTAGCGCTATAGTCGCAATTTTTATGTATCAGTTGCTTCGGCAATGTTTTTTTTATTTCATAAATAAAATATTATTTTACGTAGTCCCGTTCTTGTCGTAAATCTTGAAAAATGTCACATGTAATGATGTAATATAATCGCCTGACAATCCTGTACTACATCTTAATTGCATATATATTGGGCAAATGCATTATGAATCAATACAAAAAAATCTATCATTTCCACCCGAGCGCTTTACTCCGGAAACCAAAAATACTTTTATATCCATAAACCAGCTTTACCTGTAACTGCATAATTTTTTCGCAAGCACAAACTCACATATATAAAACCATGTCTTCACAAGCTTCTTCACCCGCTTCACCCGCCTCAATAACAGAAGAAATTTCCACTAGAACAATGTCGGACGTGGTTAAGGATTTCGATACAGAGGAGCTTATTGAATATTTGAAAAAGAAAGACTTGAAGCTTAAGTAGCCTCACTTTAAAATTTTACGAAAGGAAGAAATTGCTGGTCTTGATTTTCTTAAGTTAACTGAAGAAAAACTTGAACGCTATGGCATGAAAGGAGGGCCAGCAACAAGACTTGTAAATTTCATCGAAGGTCTCAGCCAGAAATTACGAAACTACTCCTCGCTTAAGACTCTTGATGACTTGAAAGAAATGTTACGTAGAAATAAGGTCAATAGGGAAGATATTACAAACATCAAGCAGTTTACTCCCGGTAGGTAATTAATTATTTTTCGAAACTGACTAGATAGCTATATTAACTTTATTTTTCTCTATAGTCTTCGAGGAGATTAGTGATGATGATAAAGCATTCGAACATTGTATGGAGGACATTATCTTAAAACTTTCGAACGTGGAAACTATGACTGATGCTAACGAAGCGACGCGCTGTGAATTTATTTCAGCTATATTACATGCATCCATCGCTATAGCTAAAAAACTCACCTCTCAAGATATATTTATAGTTTTGCAGAAAGACGTTTCCGGTGAAGATGCCACTGGCCGAGTAGACTACGCGATCAAAAGTTTGGAAGACCTACTTTGTATAACTGAGGGGAAACCACGCAATATCAAGATTGGATATGCTCAGGTAAGTCTGTCTGTCTTCTCAAGTCTATAGCCTTTGAAACAAGAAGACTAAATGGTGATTATTTTATTTTTTTAGAATCTGGCTCAGCTTGAAAGTGCGTTTCAGACAAATAAAAAGAAACGGACTGCGGATCAAGCATTTGGAAATGACTATTTTGACTATATCTATGGTATTGTGACCACAGGTACGGAGTGGCATTTTATCATATATACTCCTGATGGTATATACTCTACGAGTGGAAGCGAATACCAGATCAATCTTATGAAGTCTGCCGTTAAAGAAAACCTGAATTACTTCGAAGCAACGTGAAAAGGATAATAAGTATTATTGTTGGGCTGTTAAAAGATAGGGTTAGTGTTGATAGTTCCCCAGCTAGCAAGAGGGCTAGGATCAAAAAATTTATCAAAAAATAATATGTATCCTGGGCTACGTCCCGAACATTGTATTTATTTTTCGCATGTAATAATAAAAAATTTTCAGAACATTGAACAATTCCTTTCATATATAAAATTATTATTGATCATGTCAGTTAATGAATCTAACCCATCCGAGCTTGAATTATCAAAACAGCGTATCACTGAACTTGAGGCTGAGAATTCCGATCTTAGAATCAAGCTCTCAGTGTCTGATGCTGAAATAGCTGAACTTAAGCGCAGGAATGCCGAGGTTCTAAGAGCGAATGGGGAATATAACGAGATGCGTGATGCTGAAAAAGCCAAACTCAAGGCCAGAATCGAGGAGTTGGAATCTGAGTTTAGAGATAGAATCACGGAAATGGAACAGAAGCAGACTCTGCAAAGCGCCTTAACGGCAAATGATAATTCTTCTAACAACATTTCATCTAGCTTCAATTCAGTTGCAATACCAGAGGCGATAACGGTACCTACCAACTCTGCGAAGCGTCTTAACAGCAAATCAATGGAGGAAAGGGAGACGGACACTTTCTTAGGTGAGGCGTATAAGAAAAGTGTTAGCAATGAGATTAGGTAGAGGAATAGGAAAAAGAAATTATTGCATGAATCAGCTACCCAGGACTCATCTTCTGTAATGAAGGACAAAAAATCTCAATCACATAAGAAGAGAGAAGCAGAGAATATTGTACAGGATGCATTTGATTTCACAGCTACTTCAGCACCTGAGAAAAATCATGTGACTAAAATTTCCATGACGGAAACCCCAATTCCCGTCACTGAAAATACCGATGAGAAAAATTCCGTAGTTATGCTATCTGTAGCGAAAAGCAAACCATTACTAAATTTAGCCTGTTTATATCAGAAAGCTTGCGATGCAGAAAAGCAAAGAATTAGGGCCAATCAAGATGAAATTTTATGTTGGTATCATTATGTTATAGAATTCAATAATCAAGTAAAAAATGTTATGAAAACTAATCAAATTGGTGAGAAAAAAGCGAAAGGGCAAATCTATGATTTTATTATTACGCAACTCGGTACTAAGCGTAACACATTACGAAAACAAACTCAGAGAGCAAGAAAGATATACGAATTATTTGAGAAGATAGGAATAGATAAGGTTAAATATATCAAAACATATAGTGCGAATTCTTTATCAGAATTATCTGATATTCAAATTCAAACTATTATTGATTATTTCTCCAAGAATCCCGACACTGAATTACCAGACGATCGAGATGGCCCTATTATCGATTCCGAAGAGGAGATTTCGAATGATCAGGATAATGTATTGGAAATCTTGCCTGAAGTAAATGCACTATCTACACCTCAAATCACTCCAGCTAAAGCAGATGTTAATGATCTCACGGATCTTAAGGAGGAAGATTTCTGTGGTGGTGAGGTAGTGATCGCAAGTGTATCACCCGTATCAATTCCTATAACTAATCCAACTTATGACCGATCCTATTTTCGCAATAAGATATTGGATCAATATCCTAATCTATATAGAGAATGTAGTTGTGAAAATTTCGATTATTATGGGATTACTGATGAGACATCATGCGGGGACTACATCTGCCCATTATGCAAATTAGGTCATGATGATGAAGAAATAGAAGGTATGTATAATACCGGATCTTACTTTATTAAATATGAACAGCATAAAATTGAGATAATTGCATAGTCTTACCCCCTCAATCAAAGATTTCGGGGTGGGAGAAAAGTGATATATTTCTTACTTGCAGGCTCGCAGGCTCCGTATAACAGATAGGTTTTTTTCTCACCCTGCAGTTCGAAGAACAAAGGGGCGGGGATTTAAATTGTTTGCAGTCATATAAAAAGGAAAATGACTGAGTCTGATAAAATACTAACCGCTGAATATCTGGATTGGCATACCAAATTAATTGGATTACCAAGTATTTTGACAGATAAGATTCGTTCCAAATTGTACAAAAGATATAAAAAACAAACTGGAAATGAGCCATGGCAATTATCAGAAGTGCATGCATCGGAAGCCGGTCTTCTCATAAATTCGAAGCCAGAAAACGAAGTATCCTATTTATCTTCTGAGCAATGTGAAGAAAAAGGGCCTATCACCTTCGAAGCCAGACCCGATCCAGAATTAATTATCAAATCTGAGAATGAAGAACAAGATGTTAAGGTCCCGGAGGGATCTGATCAGAATAAGTCCTCTAAAATCGGTCCAGTCAATTCGCCTAAAGCTAAGGTGAGTACATCATCTACAACTTCTTCTAGTCAGATATATGAATCTAACCAATCTCGACTCCCAATTTCTATCTTGCCTGAAGATCCCGAAGAGAAGCGAAAACATATCATTGGGTTGGTGCTAGAGAAGTTTCCTTATCTATCTTTAGACGATAGTGATGAACGCCATGACACATTTAATCTTGATAGTTCAGCACTCTGTCCTTTATGTAATGGAGACCATAAAGTAAACAGAAGTATATTTGATGGAATAAAAGGTAAATGGGGTGATGGTGAATATTTCGGAGAACGAACTTATTGTCTCAATTGCAGGAATGCTTTTAATCGTGGAATCCCAATAGTATCTGTAAAAGCATAGACTTCATCATGTGGGTGGTCACCTGAAATGCGCAGAAGATATTCGGTAAAATTCTTGCCGAAGAATAGGGGCTGTGCGACGTAAGATTGGCATATATATTCGCATATATATTCACATCTCCATTTTATATTTTTTTTCTAAGACCTGATTTGCATTTATTTTTGCATGTCATGTCTCCGGCCACGCTATTATCATATTAATAAAACAATATTCGGGTATGGATATTTTTCCAGCAATCATTATTTTGCATATGGGATTGGGGATATCTATGCTAATCATGAAGTCATTTTTATCGATTGTAGGGGGATTAACGGAATGACGAAATGCAGTGCGTAATTGCTGGTGAAAATTAATCCCGAAGGGAATGTTTTCTCCTACGAAATTTACAAGTGATATAAAAAGGGCATTTTTTACTTCGCACTTCGCACTTTGCTCATTAATAGACCCCTAAAGATCAGGAATAGTAGGATGTCTTCTTCCTCCGGTCTCCCCAACCTTCGAAACCTTGCTTATAGCATTCTTAAAAATCTTGGAGACGAAATTGTTAGTGGTAAAGAATTTACAGAACTTGGGAAATGCTCACAATGCAATAAAGAGATCCTTTCTCTTAACTTTGAGGCGTTTACTGTGTTATCATGTGGCCATACATATCACAGGGGATGTATTGAGAAAAATTATCTACTTACGCAAAAGAATAAATGTCTTTTTCCTGGTTGCACCGCAACTGTTGAGGCCGTAATCTCCAAACGAAGATTTTCTGTATCATCTCGTTCGAGTACTTCATCGATAGTTAGGAGAATGAGCAACCAACTTTTGATAAATTCGCCAATCCAAGAAGAGGTGTCAAATCAAGAAATGGACGTGGATGTGAATGGAGAAGAAGAAATGCCGGAGGAAGATGATGATGGCGAAGAAGTAGAAACGATTCCTTTGAGATCAACTCAACCCGAGCAATCCACCTCCGTCTCCTCAAGCAATAAGGGTAAAAAACGTTCTAGGGAATTGGGTGCATCAGCCAAAAAATCGTCTAGCAAGAAAGTGAAAAAGACTGGTGGGAAGAAGGTGTCGAGTACGCTGAAAAAACTTATCGAAGAGTTGTTAACAATGGATATAGTACCTGTTCCCAGTGAAAGCTTAGAAGAAACAAATGTCACAAATGAAGCTGGTGGTATTTTTTTGCAACTCTTCAATAGGATTAATAATGCCGAAACTAAAAACGAAAATGCATCTCGAGGTCTCATTTTCAGTTATTTTAATTTTGGGGAAGCTGTATTTAAGCGATACAAGGAATTAAAACCCGAGTTTGGTAAGGATGGATCTGAAGTGATAGTTAAAAAAGAGGTTAGGGTGGCGATTCCCGAGACAAAATGCTCTGATGAAGCTTTGCGAAAAAGGACAGAAAAATCTGAAAATGTGTATAAGCTTTTTAATACCATAGGTAAAGAAAAAATAGCCAGGATTAGATCTATTCCCCCATCATTCATCTTAAGATGAAACCAAATATGTAATAGCTGAAATCTTAACACATAAGGTTTGACGAGCTCGGACAAGCTTGTCCAGCCTCGGCCAGGTCCCTTTAGGACCCCATCATTTTTAAGAAAATATTTTTCTTTTGAAGACTAGCTAAAACGATTTAATAAAGTTCTGCCCACAATTCGGGGCTTATATTTTTATTTGCTTTGCGGATGTGTATGAGTATGTGAAATATATGTAATAAATAATTTCGTAAAATATGTGCGCTATAAATTATCACTTGACATACTGTATTACGTCAAATGATTCATTCATTCTTCTGCACAGTTTTGACGAGCCCGGACGCCCCCTCAAAAATAAATTTTTTCGGGAGAAGAAGGCAGGTAATCATAGACTTGAAAGAATAGCTGGGGGAAACATTTTTATCTTTTTTCGAATCTAGTGAGAAAAAAGGACTCTACCATCAGAAAAATAAGCTAGTTATATGCACAGTGCTTTCGGGAGATAAATTTAACCTGAGCTTATATGCGTGTCCATCAGAAAAATATAGGTTTCGGGAGATAAATTTAACCGGATGCTGATCCAACTTTTGCTCAATTTTGACGAGCTCGGACAAGCTTGTCTAGACTCTACCATCAGAAAAATAATATTTTTTTTTGCACGTGCATTTATTCGTAATCATTTTTCCGAATTCCATTAGATCAAAGGCTATCTGGCTAAAGAAAAAATCCGAAACCTGGTTGGCCGATCATCTCGTGATTTATAGGAACTCGCCAGCTCCTGGAACTCTCCTAGAACTATCGAGGAACTGGCAGGGAACTGGTGGAGATCTCATGTGATACGATATACAGTACATCATGCCACAAACCAATTTAGCCGAAGGCGCATATAAATATAAAATTAGCTTAGTCCGAGAGATGACCATATATAAATCCCAATTGAATAAAAATGAATTTGGATTTAGCAGTATGTAGTCTCAAATCGGCTACAAATCCCCCTTGATCTATCGATCTGCGGGGTGGTAACGTGAATAGTTTAGCGAATAAGTTCAGAAAAAAAGAAACCAATATTATATATCACCTGGGATACCTTTGGTATCGAGGGGCTCAGCAAATCCGTATAAATTTGAAACATGCTATTCTCTAGTATAGGTTGATAAAGAATCAGTGTAACACTCTGAAATTGCTATAAATCACTAAAACAGCTATAAATTGATAATTATGTCAGGAAATATTGTTAATAGACCTAGGCCTAATAAATGCATTGACATTATTATAGACAAGGTTTATAATAAATCTGTGCCTAAACCCACTAATCTTCGTCCTGGATATGATATTGAATATATTAGAAACCGTTATGGTTTTCTTTATCCTGGTCAATTCGAAAAGATGGTTGAGATCGAAAAAATATATGATAGTTTATCTATTATTAGTTCGTATGAAACTCCACAGCAATAAGCTATTCGTGTAAAAGACGCTTTGCAAGCATTGATTACTGAAGGCCATGAAAGCTATTATCATATATTCTGCCTTTTCGGATCATCTGGGCAAGGAGTAACCAAGACATACTATGATAACTATGAAGGGAGAGAAGTTGCCATTGGTTATCACAGACCTAATATTCACAATTGCAAAATGGCTATTTGCTTCGATTGTTGGAAATTAGTAGATATCACTGATGTAAAACCAAAAAAGACATATTTCAGTGGATGGCGGAGATATGGGTATGAGATTAAGCCTGAAGACTTGATGAAATATCATTGGGATAACTCATGTTTCAAGACTAATAAACATATAGAAGCAGTCCTAAAGGGACCAGCCCATCTTCTTGCAAGCACGAAGTCAGAAATATTGTGTGAAAAATCTTCTGATCGGAAGGGGATATTATATCCTGAAAAAAATACACCTGATTCCCTCCTGCAGTTTGATAGAACAAGTGGGAGCGAAATATTTATTTCATCTATATATGCAAAACAAAATAACTTAATCCATCTTAATCAGCCAAAAGGTATTGCATTAAGATTGAGAAATGGGACAGTAATCAAGTTTGTCTAACTGTTTTGACTGACTGATTCCATTCTTGATATATAACTATTTACATAATTTATTGGACCATACATTACATAATATATTATTTTTTCAAGAAGTTCAGGAAGATCAATGAAGCGATCTTGGGGATTCTTGATTGCGAAACAATATAACTATCAGTTTGAGAATTTCTATGCAACAGTTATCCAGCGAGCTTACAGGAATTACAAGAAGAGACCTGAAT